ACCCAGCTGCCTTTGAGACTGGTCGTCTGCGACGACCACCAGCCCCACAGGGTGCATGCCTGGTGGCGGCAAGCGCCCTCAACTTCCGAAACCCACAGCCCCTTTTTTCAACGAGGTCTCTCGAAAAAACCCTAAACCCTAGGCCCAAAACACTAAACCCTAAACCCTAAACCCTAAACCCCTAAACCCTGAACCCCAAGAAGCACCTTCAAACATCTTAAAACGGGTTTTAGTTGGGCCGGCCTCGTTCCGCTGGCTCCGGCGCCTCCTTTTCGCCAGCCTTCCTCAAGGGGACCCAGAGAGGAGAGAAGTGGCAAACCAAGCAAAAAGAGACTTTCAAGGAGATTGGGGTTTTGTGTTTAGGGCTGAGGCGTGATCACAATACTGAGACCTTCTTGTAGGTAATCATGTGTAATCGGTATTAAAAGATACCAAAATCAAGCTCGCATGATAAGAGGGGCGAGGATGGTGGGGGAAGGGGGAAGTTTGCTGTGAGGAGTCACCCCCTCCGGAGCAAGTCTTTCGCGCATCCCTGCTCGTTAAATTGCAAATGTCATCAGCTTGCCTTCTATCCGCTGTCATCGCCCTATAGACGACTATAAAAACGGGGGCCAAAGGGTTAACAGTGAATCATATCAGCCCCTATACAGTCAGAAATGAACTATCCAAGCAAACCCCTTTGAGGGCAGCACCGGATGATGGCACCCCGCGCACCTATCACAGGAGGAGCAGACATTGAGGGAAAACGCTAGGCCTCCAACAACATAGATTTGCAGGGCAACGACACTTGAAAAAGCACATACGGTAGCGGGCGTGCCTACTAAAACCCTTCAAAATCATAAAATCCCTGAAAATCCCCACGAAGCATCAGGCACCAGCACGAGAAGGCAATGCAGCCCCTCAACCAACAACAAGATCAAATCAACAAACAGATGCTCGCAAGGCTCACTATGCACAATCTGCAGGGTCAGAAGTTTTTGATGGAGTCGTGAAGACTCTTCACCAGACTCGCCCTCCCATCGGGATCGCATTCGCTTAAGAAGCTTTTCGGCAAAAAACTTTTAATTTGTTCCTTGTCGGATTTAACGGTGGAGCAGTCAAAAGCTCCCGCCCTTGCGCCCGCCCCCTCCCGCCCACCCAAGCAGTCATACACCCGTGTTGGTGAGCGTATGTACGGGGTATCTTGTTGGGGATGCTAGCGAAATAATCTACTTCATGCACAGGAATTTGCGATTTAGGGTTTACCGAAACTTCTTGTGGCCTCCAATAAGCTTCAGAATGTTGGGCTCCGTTCCAACCCGCAAGCGCGCGGCCCCCGAGAGTCGTCTCAAGACAAGAGTCGCAGCCACAGAGGCTGCAGCACGATGAAATCGTTGCAATCAATTCAACCGATGTGAATCCTGAAAAAACTATGAGTCCCAAAAAAGAATATATATGTACATATATATATATATACTCATGTATTGATTTATGTATTTATCTATATAACCCATCTCTCGCAGTATCTTTCTGCAGGGTCCGGCCTGCTTCCGCCACCGCCGCAGCCTGCTCGGCTGCGTGTGCTGCGACTGAGGCCGCTGCCGCTGCGCGGGCGGCTCCTGGGGGGGGAGGCTGCCTAAACCCTAAACCCTAAACCCTCAACCCTATAAACCCTAAATCCTAAACCCCAAACCCTAAACTATGGTGTAATTACTTCGGGGGCAGGGCATCTCAGCAAGCCTTTCATTTAGCCAGCTTCGCACCGACGCCTCCACATGTCGGCTTTGTACTTCAAAACTTCCACCCGACAACACCTACTTGAAGGTTCACAGATGTTCATGGGTACCTATAAGTCATAATACCCTCAACTATATATTTAACCATATTTATAGTTCTACCAACAATAACTTCAGTTACAGCTACCCATCAAGAACACAAGCTCCCTTGTCCCAGGGTTCGCTGGGGTCCTTCGGTGGCCTGGGTTAGGGCCAGCTTCAAGGCATCTGCCTGGTGGCAGGCGCAGGAGCGGGAGCAATCAACAGTGTCGAGGGATCTCCTCGCATGCTTATCACCTAAGAACAAGTGCACGAAAATAACCCCCACAACAGGTGTACTATGACTAGCCCACTTAAATAACCAGAAATAACCATATTAAGGGATTGAAAGGGGGCGTATAGCTGTACCCTGATTTGTCAAGTAGTGTTGAGGGGGTGTGTCTGTCGGTCGCTGTGGGCTTGGCATGCTAAAGTGTACCGTGCCGGCGCTGCTTGGGAGATTGTGCTACGCAAGCCCGGTGCCCTGTGAGAAGCCACCCGGTGGGGGTCACAGCGCTTCCGAGCGCCTGATTCCAACATAGCCCCCTCATTCATCCCTCTACGCCCGATAGACCGAAGGGAAAGCATTCATCCTCCGCGCATTTCGGGGCTGTGAGGCAGGTACACGAAGCTCCCCGTCCCACGCAGGGAGGGCTTTAGGGTTTTAGGGTTTATAGGGTTTTACGTTTGGGGCCCAAAACTCTCTGATCCGGGGCCTCCTCGGCCCCAATGGCCTTGGCTGCGGCCCCGATGGCCTCGGCTGCGACCTTGTGAGCCTCTCGGTGCCAGGATTGCTGGGCCCCACCCGGTGCTGCGGCTTACTTATGGTTTATAGGTTTTAGGGCAATTGGGGATGTGTTGAGGAATCCGAAGCAGTCGAAGGCACAGCTTCCTCTGCACCCGCCTATGCCACCTATGCCCCGCAAGGCTCAGGGGCCCATGAGCCCCCCCCCTCAACCACCCCAGCGGAGCGCACCCGCGTCTTCGAAGCCTCCTGCAAGTGGCCCAAGAGGCCAGCCACAGCTAAGTCAAATTAGAATCGCGAAGAAGAAGGCAGATCTATGAAAGAGAGAGAAAGAGAGAAAAAAAAATAGTGAAAAGAGACACGCAATATCGTTGAGTTCTAGCTATCGTTCCAGCACAGGTCCACCTAATGCTGGCTGACTGGATTTCCTGATCAAGTGTCCTGATCATGATAAAGTTGTAACGCATGAAACAATGCGTGAAGAAAGCAAAGCGAAAAGGAGAACAGGAAACACGGACAAGAAAGAGGGATCAGGCAGAAACACTTGAGCGAGTGAATGTGTGAACGAGCGAGCTCACAGGGTTTTTTGTCAATACTGTTCATGGGGGCCGGCAGCAATAGGACAGGGAGGCCCTAAACCGTAAACCCTAAACCCTAAACCCCAAACCCTAAACCCTAACCCTAAAAGCTTTAGACCACAAACTTCATATCAGCGGGCCCAAACGTCTCCAAAACCTGGCAAGTCGGGTCTCCTGCATGAAGCTGAGGGCCAGAGCCCCCGAGACCAATTCAGGTGCCAGGGGCTCGCAGGTGAAGTTGGCAACCTTGCATAAAAAAACTCAAAAAGGGAAGACGTTTCTTTTTTTCGCTCCCGGGGTTCAGGGTTTAGGGGTTAGGGAGGGTTTCTTACGCGCAGCCCAACCACGATGTCTCGCCTGCATTGATCTGGGACCCCGGGCACAGTGCTCGGCGCACTGCGGGCCTTTGCAACCTGGCCCCTGCGGGTAGAGGCCGCGGTAGCCTTCCTGGGAAGCACCACAAGGGCTTGAACTGCCTACAGGCTGCAACTTGGCAGCTCGAGCAAAGAGATGTCATGGTCGCAAGCCCTGGACTTGCACAATGCAGCATGCCAACGAAGACTCTGGAGATTCAGCACACAATCCTAACGTATAGAAGCCTTGCAAGCCTTGCACAAACACACGTCCATCCAGCACGTGGAGCTTTTTGCAAGGCAAGAAACAGCCAGGCTCAGAGCTTCCTGCGGCGAGCCGAGGTACATACGTCACCACGACTCAAAAGAAAGTAACAGGTTGAGACATCTGATCAGCACCAGCTTGGGAGGGGGAGGGGGGGGGGGGGGTATGCACACCACCCTTGACGTCGGGCCTGCCGTGGACTCATCATGTATATGTCTGCTTGATACTGATACCATTTGATACCAAGCATTTTTTAGCTGTCATTGTTGCACAGATTTCGCGCGGGCCCTGGGCAATCGCTCGCAGCTTCAGTCTTCGGCCTTAGCATAACCCTGACACGGCTCCTGGCCCATCGCCTGGGCTGACACCACCGCGCTATCGTTCACGGTGCACTGGGCAAGATCGGCAAAGTAGACCTGCAAAGAGCTGCAACAAGAAATCAGCATCCCCGAAGCTCCTCTTTGACTGGGTAGTCCTACATAGCCTGCGAATGTTGCTGCTGCCATGTGGCTGTCAACGAGTCTCACGCCCGCACAAGGGTGTCTCAAAAGATTGCGACACAACAGAATCCTGGGCCTCTGCCACGTCTCGTGGGTCCTTGATTCCATGATGCATCACCTGGGCACTGGCGGCTTGCTGCCGCACCCCAATGCAGGGGCGCGGGTTCATCGCTGTACGTTCGGATTGTAAGTCTCGTCTGCAGCACATTAGGGTCCCTTTTGGGGTGCTGTACCAAATTTGGGACCCGAAAAGACATCCCAGTTCGGAGCTGTAGGCCTGCAAATGCAGCCCGGAGGCTGGCCCCACAGTGCTCACGTGCTTGTTCAGGTAGACGCCGTCGTCCACAAAGAAGTTCCTTAGGGGTCCAAAGTTGATGACACCATGTCGGTGGGCATGGTCTTTGCCCATTCTCTGCTCACCCTCAAAGTGTGGCAAAATCTTTGTTCACTCATTTCAAGTTGGGCAGGGCCCTATAAGTCTGTATAAGTCTGTCAGTTATCTACGAGGATTCCCCTGCTCTGTGCGAACCAAGGCGCATCCGAGGCCAAACGGCCAGGAGGCAAGACTCCTTCCAACACTTTTTCAGGGACATTGCAGACCTGGCACTCTGCTCCCTTGACAGCCTCAACCAAGCCGCGAGCCCCCCAAACCCTTTTTACGGCTAGGACTGCTGCACTGCCTGCCCCCCCCTAAACCCAAACCCTAAACCCTAAACCCTAAACCCTAAACCCTAAACCCTAAACCCTAAACCTTACACCCTAAACCCTAAACCCTAAACCTAAACCCTAACAATTCCATGTCGTCCTCTCCGATGCAGCCGTGCTCGCGGCCGAGGCTGGTCTGCTCCATGCTCCACATCCTGGAGGGGCAGGTTTCTGCTTTAGGGTTTAGGGTTTATAGGGCATCGGAGAACCTCTATCAGCGGCACGAAGGCTTTGCAAGGGTTGAACATTTGAAGTACAGACATATACTCTTAGAGTCAGTCTCAGATAAAAACTTGTCAGAAACTTTTGAGGGTTGAACTGCTTAATTAAGTTGCCGTTGGTAGGGCCGGTGCGCTCAGGACCCCGTCATTAGGCCATGTGCCCTTCCGGTCCCGCGCCTGGGTGGCCCCAGCACCCGCATCGACTCCTCCACGAAGCTCCAGTAAGGCTGGAGGTTGTCGACCTCCACATCGCTGAACGTTCAACGCTTCGGGGCTTCGGATTCGAGGTCTGTTGCCGGTTTGCCATGTACTCTAATACTACTGATTAAAATCGGGGAGTTCTTCCTGGAAGTCCGAAAGCCAGGCTCTTCCCCCCTCTCGCCCCCCCCCCCCCCGCCCCCAAAAGAAAAAGCAAACTCCAAGAGATTAGAAGACTCTGCGGGCCTTGGCTTCCAGCCCCCCGTAGAGCTCCCGGACCCTGCTGGCCCCGGCGAGCTCCAAGGTCTCCACCTTCGTAGGTGGGTTTTGACTTCTAACGGTCCAAGGGTCTATTTGGGTTTGGGTACGGCTTTGGGCTTTTGGGCTTAAAAGGACGCTTATGTAGGGAGCTGCGAAGGCTTTTGGGGGCTTCTGGGGCTCGTGCGTAGAATTTAATCATGCGCCTGCATGGGGCTAACTTTAAGCTTGGGTTTCTTGGGGCTCCTGGGTTTCTTCGGGTGCTTCGAGGGCCCGGGCATCCAGCGCTTAAGTTTAGGGTTCCAGGCTCACGCTCGTGAAAGGGGAGACGCCCTGAATTTCGTGACGGTTGTGTTGGGGCCGTTTTGCAAAGGCAACGCGAGCTGCAACAACCAAACCCACGACCAAAATTCACAAAGCCAATATTTCCCTAGAGTCATATCTGAACTGGTGCAAACCCAACCCTTCGATGGATCTCGGCCCGACACCAGGACCACGTGGAGCGCTCCGTTGTCGGCCGAGCTGAAGCCCGGCGGCTGCCGGTCCTTCATGGACGCCTGCAGAATCGCACACGCAAAACTCGAAGAAACTGAAGGCTGAAGGTCCTTCGTCGCAAGTAGCCATGCTGAAGTGTGGGGCTGGGGTCCTAGCACCACACCCTCAAGCCCTAAACCCCTTAAACCCCGAAACCCTAAACCCTAACCCTAAATACATGTGCAGTACACAGGAGGTCTGGGTTCTGAGCTCGGTGTGGAGCAGTAAAAGCGAAGAGTTCAAAAGGCTGGGAAACCAAAAACGAACCCGCAAACCACGCTTTTCGATCCGAAGGGCCCAGCGCTGAAGGAAGGCCCGTACCCAGGGCCGATTCTTGGCGATGTAGTTGCCTCTAAGAGCAAAGTCTTCTTTGGAAGCCTTTGGGTTTCTTTTTTTGAGAGGGAGGCTGAAGAATTGCATTTGCCACGCATTCCGGGTTCGGGTTCGCTCGGGAAGGAAGGGGTCTCGGAGTTGCTCCCCTCTTGGGTGCAAGCACGAGTGGCATCCCAACTTTTGCGCGAAAAAGATGCCCAGGTGCCTGCCATGACCTCCTCGCCCGTGATGCCTCGGAGCACGGGCACACGCCCCAAGCACCGGCTCAATCGCGTGTCGTGGCCAGGTAAACGAAAAAAACACATGTTCCAAGCTAGGATGGCCCCCCTCTGAAAATACTCCTACATATGATCCTCTTAAACCGAACCCAACAAGGGAAAAACAAGGCAACATATAGAACATCCCAAGAGCCTGCCTATAGCAAGGCATCTATCTTCGAAAACTGGATCCACGCAGTGCCCGGGGTCGTGCCAAGCCGCGCTCGTAGAACTGGAGGTCGGCTCGGCTCTGCATCCACCTCCAACGGAAGGGTGCCGCTCCGCAGCAAAGGCTCGATGTAAGGCACTTGGCCCCCCCCTTTTTTTGGGGGGGGGGGGGGGGGGGGTTTAATTAAAAAGTTCGTTTACCTATAGTTTTAAAATACATTACTTTCGTTCAAAGTACACTACCTATAGGTTAAGACTACATTAGCTACCGGAGGGGCCCATAATCTTGCTCAGCTCCCATCAAACGCGCCGGGCCACCGGTCGAGGCTTCGGTCCAAGGCGACGGCCACGACGTCGGAGTCCAGCACAGCGAGGCTGTACCTGGATTTTCATCCCGGAAAAACTCCAGTACCCCCTCAAATGAGGAGTACTTTCCAAAAAAATCATGGCAGCCCTAGTTTTGCTTAAGGGAGATGCTCGTTCTTACTGGGCCAAACAACGGAGAACAGGAGTCTCATCTGGGCCAACTAGCACTAGCTGCACTAGCTCCCTCGCGACCAATGATGATCATGTTAAGGCACTTGCTGGCTTGTAGGTGGGTTAAAAGTACAGTTGTAATTCCAGTTCTAAGTGCCATGAACCTCTAAATACAACACCCCCCCCCCACCCACCCCCGCTTAGGATTTAGGGTTGAGTTGCATGAAGGTCCAGTTGAGCGTCCAAACCCAAACGCCCAACCCTTCTCAAAGTTTAGGATGTCCACTTTGGGGGGGGGGGGGTGGAGGGGCAACGTTTAGTTTCGTCTGAGAACCTCGTGCCATCTGCCCCGCTTTCCTCCCTGCCTTTAACCCTACTTCCTCACCCATGAACCTTCAAAACCCCAAGCCCGAAACCCGAAACCCTAAACCCTCAACTCTAAAAACCCTAAACCCTAAACCCTAAACCCTAAACCCTAAACCCTAAACTCCAAACCCCAAACCCTAAACCCTAAACCCTAAACTCCAAACCCTAAACCCTAAACCCTAAACCCTAGATGTTGGGTTTGCCGTCCTCTCCCTTTGGAAGGGAAGCAAAGCTGCCCTGGCTCCTGCGCCTGCAGCAAGCTGGCTGCGGCGCAGTGCTTGAGGAAGAAGTAGCCGTTCTGGGCTTTCCAGAGCCTCGCAGGGAAGAGACTTCGTCAGAGTGGCTACCACACCTCTGCAGGCTTGAGGTGCCATTCTGAACTGGATGTGGGCTTTATTTCGAGACTGACCGATGGTCATGATTCGTTCCTGCAATCTTCAAGCTCACGACTTGCCATTGCTGCTGAAGCGCTCGGCACAGGCAGCAAACTCACCCCCGCTGAGCAGCCAGAGGTCATAGCCTGGCGCAAGCAACTCCCCTTCACGGCACAACACATGCCTCCCAAATCAGTCTCGCGCCTCTACAAACGGCCCAAGCGGAAGCCCTGCTGCTCTCGCCACGACAATCCATTTTGCGTCTGCTAGGGTCAGGTGTAGGAACTTCCATATCGAGATTTAAATGGAGGTGAAGAGATGGTGGGAGAGCTGGCCTTGTGCCTTCGCGTAGCAGCGGATGCTTTGTATCTGGTTGGCATATCTCCTCAGGCTTCGGTTTCAGGGTTTTGCGGGGCGTAGAAACTTCGCGCCTTTGGTCCCTCTATAGTCTCTGGGTAGTCAGCGGAGGTTTCCGTTCCTTTGGTTCAGGGTCTCGATGCGCACACTGGCACAAGCTGGTGACACGTTTCGAAGGTCCCGAAAATGAGAGCTCATCGGCGTCATGAGCCACCGGAGTAAAATCGAATTCACGCCACAGCTCCAGTCTGCTCTCCCAACGAAAAAGACCTTATTGAAAAGCAAAACAACCCGAATACGGAGCCGACCCGTCTTAGTACGGCCAATCCCACCACAACCCCATGTAGGGGTTTTATCGATGGCAAGCCAGGACTCTCTCGGAAATGGTCGTCGGCCAAGACGGCGATACCAGCATGTCTGCTCCCTGCAGGTGTTGGACCCCCTAATATGGGGACTTCGACTCACATTCTGGCGATAGGGGAGGCCTGGGTGGTGTGGATTCTGTGGAGTGGGCTCGGGTACAAGCAGATGTTAGGGATTCAACATGACGTCCTTCTCCTGCTAGGACAGTCTACAACATGATGCCCAAATATTCAGCATTATCCAGCAAAGGCCACAAAAGTCACCACAGCGATTTGATTTGCTCATCCTCCCATCCAACCTTGTATGACGCGGTGCGCTTGGACGCCTACATCGTGTGCAGCATGGTGGTCCTGAGGCGGATTTATCTGAAGGAAGGGACTTCAAGCTGGGGTCTGAAAACCATGGCACAACAACCAGGAAAAATGAGGACCTTGCAGCCCTCGCTACGAGTATGGTCGGTCTGAGATGTGTGTGGTTCAAAAACAGGAAAATGCACCTCTATCATGGGGCGGATTTCTTAGGGATATCTCGGATTTAGGTTGTTCAAGCCCCACACTGCCACCCCCAAACCGCTGCGGCCCATCCTGGATTGCGGCTGCATGGATGACCAGCGCAGATATGAAAGCCAGAAGGGCGGCGTCGCGCATGTCAAGTCAAAAGCGCTACATGGATGGGCCTGCTAGTAGGACTTGGGGCCAAACGGCGACAGAAGCATAAAGGCCGAGCTTCTGTATGGACTCCGAAGCCAGCTCGCATTCCCAACATTTGATAGGTTTGGAGCTGTCAGTCATGTCTTCAACAGGTCTTCAACGAGTAGGTTTACAGCAGAACAGCTTCAGATTGGCCAATCCTCTGGGCAATCCCAACATGAGTTCGGGCATTACAGCTCATCCTGCCTGATGCTTCTGCTACATGACGACTTGGAGATTTATACTTCGATCTGTGAACTTCTTTCAGCCTGACCTAGGTACCCGCCTTTCAGACGCAAGAATTCAAACCTACCCTTTGGCCTTTCGTTTCACTTCTTCGGCTTTGGAAGACATCCCAACACTTCAAAGTGTCTCGTCAGCTTGACCGACTCACATGTACTTGAAGATTGTGGGTCTGTATACGCGGCGAGCTGGCTCTCTACGTAGACAGATGGCAAGACAACCACCGCTGTGAATGGAAGTATTGGCCCCATTGGCCGAATTGCAACGTGCTGTCAACCAGGAACTCTTTGCAGGATGCAAAGGCACAGCCCTTGTTATCGCTGCGAACCAGATTTGCCAAGCTGCAAAAACGAGGCGATTATTGGGTGGGAGTTGCAAAGTGTTTCTTGCAGCTCGGCCGGGAGCACATCCAATTGTCGTCGCTGTTTGCACAACCAAAGAAACAGATCCCTCTCCCCTTGTTGCTGGCACGGCAGTCGATGATTCGTTTTCACAAAGTCAAGAAGTCTGAGAACATATCGCTTCCACGGCCGCTTCTTGGTGCTGGACGCCCGTGCTTGCCTTGACCTCACCCACTTTGCCACAATGGGGTCGAGCTTTTCCAGAAACTGGAGCCGCCTTGTTCTAGTGCTCGTCTTCAGCCCAGGCCTAACTAAATCCGCCAGGCTTTTGGCCAGCTTGCTCTCGCCAACAGGACTCGTTGCAACGCATTGGGGCATGCGGTCATGTTCCCGGACAAAACGCTGCAACTCCTCCACTCGAAGCGAAAAGATTGTAGAAGGATCCAGCCACCGTTTGGCACGGGCCCTTATAAAGCTTTGCGATGAGTTCAAGAGTTTCTGCATTCTGGCGGCTGACAGCCTGTGCCTCTTCTGCATGTGGCAGATGCTTTGCAGCCATATTCCCAACCCACTCTCTCCGAGGACAGGGCCTCTGTATTGCGGAAGCCTTCCGTGGGCCTGAACAAACCGTTCCAACTCCTCCAATCGCTTCTCAAAAGATGCACGGGCAGTTGAAGGATCCAGCCATTGCAAAGCACGGGCCCTCATGATGCTACACGGTGAGGAGACGAGTTTCTGCACTCTGGTGGCTGAGAGCCTCTCCCTCCGCAGCAAATAGCCTTGGTTGCCTAGCCACCTTCCCAGAAATCGCTCTTGAGGCATGCTGCACCTTTGGCTCGGGAGCCTGTTATGCTGTTGGGCAAACTGCTCGACTGCTTGCAAATGCGAATCCCATGGATCTCGGTTCTGCAGGATCAATGCCAGCTGATTCTGCGCACTGCAAACTAATGGGTGCAACGAGAGGTTCTTGTTCAAGCTGCAGTCCGTCACCCAGAGTCGAGACTGCAAATACACTGCATCCATCTGAGCATACCGGCTGTCAGTTCTAGCTATCACCCCAAGGAACCGACCCAGCTGCTGCGCATAGCGGCTCCCAAAAAACTTGGCATCACCAGAGACGCTGTCTCTAAATCTGGACTTGGGGGGAGGTTTGGGTGTTCCGATGTTGCTTCCAATTCTGTGGTTCCGTGTATCACTCCATGGAATCATCTGGCTCTCTCTGGACTGGCTCACGTCCTTGATCGGAAGCCCCGCGTCGCGAAGCGATAGTTTCTGCAACGTCCCCGCGGTTTCTGCTCGGAGATTGCTGCCATCAGGCCCGGACTTGAGCACAGCCAGGCTGGCAGAGGGCCTCTCCTCCGAAGAATAAACCGCTGCCGCCTGTGCTGACACAAAGGGAGTATGAAGCCCAGGATCACCTCCAAGCCTTGCACCCGACCTACTCAGCTCCGCCTCGTTGGGTTTTCCTGCTGCCCATTCATGGGAATCAATCTCAGCCCGAAGCTGCGCAGCTGGCACAAGCAGCTGACCAGCCTGGTCCGCTCTGCTCCCCGCGAGCCTTGCGGGCTGATGCTGTTCAGTTTGCTGTCGTTCACTTTGGCCACCTGTGGCGATGCTCCATTGTCCAACATCTTTTGAAGCGCCGGCCTGGCCATCCACAGCTTTCGAGCCAGGAAAGGCCCGTGGCGAGTTGCGGCGGAGCTGCATGGCGGACACCTCCGTCATGTGAGGCTCGAGGTCGAGCTGAAGCGGGACCTCAGCGCCCACGTCCGTCTCCGAGCTTTCAAGCTTAACACTTTCAAGCATGCTTGAGGAAGTCGAGACTTTCGCGACCTCTGCGTTTGCCCTTGCTGGTGCATCTGAAGAGTGTTGGGAACCGTCACTGTTCGCAAGAGCCAGCAATGCACCAGCCTTCCTGGGAACTGCCAAAGCGGGCAGGACGACGTGGGCCAGGGGCTTGCTCAGGTGCAGCCGCAACACCCGGCCGATGGCCTGGATGATGCTCACGTAGCTGCTGCGCGGCTCCACGAACATGCAGGTGTCCGCGTTCGGGATGTTGACGCCCTCGCCAAGCACCTGAACCGTCACCAGCACATGCACGGGCCTCGTCAGCTCCCCCGAAAATTGGCGCATCACCCGCCCGCGCTCCCTGCGATTGGTCCCGCCGTTGATGTGCCACGCCGCCAACCCCACGATCTTCAGCACGCGCTGGAACCGCTTGGCCTCTGCAATGGAGTTACAGTACGCCAGCACTCGCCGGAAGCGCCCGGCCTGCGTCAGCAGCAGGTTCGCCAGGCAGATGTAGGGGTGGCCCGCGGTCGTTACCGGCACCGTCAGGTCGTAATCGCACAGCACACCTTGCTCGATCGCCTCGCCCAAACTGTATCGGAAATCAATTTCCTCCTTGTGCGTCGCGGAGAACTTGAAGAGGCCCTTGCAGCTCGGCATCCCCTTCGGCATAGGGTGATGCGCCTCGTCGATGAAAGCGGCCTCGAACTTCAAATTTTTCAGCAGCTGCACGGAGTCGGTCACCGCAAGGAAGCCGCGTGCCTCCATGTCGATCTGGTCGTTGTAGCCCGTGCCCACCTTGCAAAAGCCCGTCAGCTCATCGGCGAGCTGCTCTAGGAGCACGCGCGAGGGGACAGTGACCAAGACCTGCGACAAGAGCCCGCGAAATCCTCACAAGGATGCCTGTCACCTTTAGCTCATCCTAAATTCTAAAGCCAGAATACCTAGACCCATACATCTGCACAGAAGAACTCCTGCTGAACTTTGCAAGGCGACCTTGCCAGACTGCTTCTCGGTCAGCTCTCGAATCACGCGCGTCTTCCCCGTGCCGCAGGCCATCTCGATCACCCGGGCTCCTTTGGCGCACGCCTCCAAGCATGCTGCCTGGCACGGCCGCAGCGGCGGGTCGGACGACGGGCCGCCGTGCGCCTTGCATGCCAGCGCGGAAGCTGCTTCCCGGCAAGCCTGGGACAGGCAAGTCTTGGTGAGGATCTTACGATGCCCTCCATACTGACGCAGCCACTTCTCAGAACCGGTGGAGATCTTGCAACCGCGGAGGATCCAGAGCGTGCACTGGGCATCCTGCCAGAAGCAGGAGCTGGGCCCATCATGAGCGTGCAAGACCCTAGCCCTACATAAGTTGATCGAGCAAAGCACCTGCACCCCTGGCGCACCTTACACACGCAAGGGGCCGTTCGCAGGAACCGCTTCACATCCGAGTGGGAGGCATTCCCAGCCCGGCAGAGAATTGCCCGCCGCCCGTCCAAGCTGAAGAGGTCCACGCCTGTTTTCCATCAAGCTGAGCAAGGGGGATGGGAGAGCTGGCTGCAGCGGACTTGGGTCTCAGGATGCCGGCTACTTAGGAGGTTGACCTGTATGTTGTGATCCTGGCCTAGCTGGCGACGTGTGATGTTGCGCCGCTGGAAGAACCACGGAGGCAACTCCTGGCAGGCAACCGGGAGTTGCAAATTCAAAGGTCCACGTCTCTGAGTCACGCACGCCTGGCAGCAACAACCGACGTTGGTTCTCGCTCCTGTGTGGGCACGGCGTCGAACTCCAGCACCGCAGCCCAGACCAGGCGCTGCTGGTCCGCGAGAAACGGCCACGCCAGCGCCTGCAGCACCGGTCCGGTCGACAAAAATCTGCTGACCTGGTCTACACACTCGTACCATTCATCCTGAGCTTGTCCAAGCCTGCAGATGTGAGAGGCAGTTAAGTTTATGCCGACCTCAATCCCTTATTCTTGGGTCCCTGCACGAGCATGGTCTGAGCTCTGTTTGGAAAGGTATTGGTAAGTTGCAATCATGCGTGAGTATCACCCCCTACCTCCCGCGCCAGGCCACGGAGGTGCTCCATGAAGGCTTCGTCGCGACCTGCCGTCCCAAGCCAAATCGAGACTGCAAACCGCACACGAACCAGGCTAGAATTTAATTTCAGTCCGGCTGCTCTGCTCGTCGATTCCAAGCTCATCCGCGCCAAGGCTCGGAGCTCTCCCGGTGGCGGCAGCGCTCCTCGTCCTCGCAAGTGAGGACGCGAACTCAACGTGCAGAGCAGAAGATACCTCACTCTGTTGTGTGCATGCGGAATCCTTGGTAGTTCCTGTCGCCGTGACCCAGTCGGGTGCACGAAAGGTGCCGCCGTCACCCAAATGATCCCAAGGAGGAGTCCGCAGAGAATCAGGGTCGCAGCCTTTCTGCTGCCACTCCTTCCGAGCTTGCGCACGGTAAGAACCTGATCCTTGCGCATGGGTCGCAAAAGGAGCGCATCAATGTCGGAATTCCATTTGACGGACAGGCGCACCGCTTGTGAGCCCTCCAGCTGCAGCAAGACAGGAGATTAGTCGCGAAATGCACCCGAATGCAGGAGCACAACTGCAAGACCTGCAACATCCGGCTACGCATTAATAAGTAATATAGTGCACACCGAGCGCGCGTTGCTCTCGCATGCGCTTTGCTTTTCGAACACGGGGCATCCGGACGATGCCGGGGGGGAATGAATGAATGTCTATCCACGTGCGAGATCGCCGGGTGGGACTGGGTGGGTCAAACAAAATGACACTGACAACGCTGCACCAACTTGAACGAACAGAGAATGAAGCAGGCGTTCAGCCAGATGTTGGCATCCAAAAAGAAACCATATTGTCCTCAAAACAACTGCTTGTGTTGACATCCCACATGACAAGTTTATTACAGTAAAGCCTCAGCATGATATCATCACTCCATTCCTTTGTCGGGGAGATACGTCCTGGAAATGGGGCACTGCGAAAGATGCCTGAAAATGCGCACAGACTTCGTATTTTCCACCGGCACGGCAGGGTCTCCTCTACCCTCACCTGCTGAACTTTCAAGGCAGGGCCTGGGCTACACTAAGGCCTGACTCGGCTCGCTCTCCACCCTAGCGATGAAAGAGCTTTGTTGGAATCATCGTTGAGACAGCAGGAAACGTCTGTATGGATTATGTAGGGACAACGTAGGGGCGACAATCCCATCACCCCACCTCACGGACAGACGCTAGTGAGTTTCTTTGGGTCTTCTTCTTTTGGGTTTAGGGTTTATCTACGGTAAGTCACATTCTGGCGCTTGCACGGGCTCAGCGGGAGGTCTGGGTGGTATGGGTTCTATGGAGTGGGTTAGGGCCAGGGTGCAAGCATGACACTAGGGTTTCAACGATGCCCTTCTCCTGCCAAAACAATCTACAACACGATCCACAAATATCCAGCAACGTGAACTTCAGGAGGCCACAAAAGTCACCACAGCGGTTTGCTCATCTTCCCATCCAACCTTGTACGACGCGGTGCGCCTGGACGCCTACATCGTGTGCAGCGTGGTGGTCCTGAGGCAGATTTATCCCAGGGAAGTGACTTCACGTTTGGTTCTAAAGAACAGGGCGCAATAACCCTTGAAACATGAGGGTCTTGCATAGTTCGGCGTCTGTATATATGAATCATGGCTAAGCTTCAAAGACGCTCTGAGGGAAACCGGTCTGCTGCTGCAGACCTCACTAAGCGCCGGTTTGAGATGTGTGTGGTTCAGGAATCATTGGGTCCATTTTACCTTTCGGGATATATCGGATATAGATAGAGATTGCTCTAGAAACTAGAAGCCCCCACACTGCCAATATCACCCCATACCTCTTCGGCTCGTCCTGGATTGCGGCTGCATGGATGACCAGCGCAGATATGAAAGCCAGAAGGGCGGGGTCGCGCATGTCAAGTCAAAAGCGCTACATGGATGGGCCTGCTAGTAAAGGACTTGGGGCCAAACGGCGACAGCGCATAAAGGCCTGATCTTCCGCGTGCGCTTCCTCTGGCCCGTGGATGCCCAAATCACAGGTGCACAGGCTGCATGCAAGTCGCAACGCGTGTCAGACTTCAAGCCAACGACCCTCAAGACCGCCTCAGGCTATCGTCATTCCTCAACCGTTTTGAGGTTTCGAGTGGAGTTCTCATGTGCCACTGCTGTCTTCAACGAGCATAGCTTCAGCTTGCCACTAGTGTCGGCGAACCAAATGTGATGCGAACTTTGCAGGTCACACTATCTGATGCTTCTGCTAAGTTCGCGGCATTTGGAGATGCTTGCTTCTTTATGCAAATTCGGAGCGAGCGTGGAGGCAACTTAGACTTACATAGGATGGTGTCGATCGCAGTGCGCGGTATCCTGTGAACCGGACCTGCGTAGTCACCCGGCAAGATGTTGATCCGTGAACTTCTTGCCAACCTTCAACCTCTCACGTCCCTGACCATTCAAGCTAGGAACTCCTCTCGCTTCTTCTCTTTGGCTGCCGAAAAGTTCCTCAGACTAATCGCCCTCAGCACCTCCAAGTCCGATCATGTTCAAGTATCAACCCTCCGCTGTGCGAACTCGGCTCCGCCGACCCACATTTGAACATTGTGGCTCTGCACTCCGAGGTGGCTCTCGATACAAGGAGGCGTTCGCCAGCCGGGCCTACGTTTTATCACTTGAATAGAAGCATTTGCCTACAACAGGCTTTCAAAGAAATAAAGACAAACCAACGAGTCTTGGCTCAAGACACCCCCTTATCTCTGCACATTATTCCCGTCATGCCGCAAAGATGAGGCGATTATTGGATGAGAGTTGAACAGTGCTTCTCGGAGCTCGAGTGGGAGTCTGTCCAACAATCGCCGCTGCCTGGACAACCAGCGATAGTGAGCACTCTGCCCATCATGTCGCTTCAGTGGAAGTCGATGGTTCGCCGTCACAAATTCAATAACTTTGTCTAACTGTTGCTTCCAAAGTGTTTTCTGGACTCGGAGCTTGCTTGTTGGCTGTCTCTTTGCCCATTTTGCAACAACAGGGCCGAGCTCTGCTAGAAGCTGTAGCCGCCTCGTTCTGGTGCTGTCTGAAATAGAAGCCCCGACAGATGTTTGCAGGCTTCGCATCAGGGTGCGCTCGCCAGCAGGACTCGCTTTCGTGTCACGGGGCATACGATCATTCACCTGGACAAACTGCTGCAATTCCCTCGTCGCTCGCTCGAAGGGTGTAAACGTATCCAGCCAGCGCACGGCGCGAGCCCTCAGACTGCTACATGACGAGTTCAACAACTTTTGCATTCGGGCGGCTGGGAGCCTCAGCCTCCTCTGCGCTTGGCGGACGTTCTTCAGCCATATTCCCAACACCCGCTCCTCAAGCAAAGTGCCGAACTGGCGTGGGAGCCTGCCATGCTTCTTGGCAAACTGCTCCACTATCTTTAAACGCAAATCCCAGGGATCACGTTGTTGCAAGATCAACCCCAGCTGATAATGCATCCTGCGAACCAGCGGATGCAGCGAGATCTCTCGGTTCAGTCTGCAGTCAGTCACCCACATGCGAGACTTCAAATACCTTGCATCCTTGTCAGCAAAACGGCTGTCAGTTGCAGCTATGGCCCCGCGCCGAAGCCTCAACACTCGATGAAACTACCTGGCTGCTCTCGTGGCTCCGGGCCTGCATCGGAGGTCGAATGTCATGTAACCACAGTTGCTGCGACTTCGCTGCGACGTCGCGCGCAGCGCCTGCTGATCTTGAATGGCCAGGTCTGCTGTCAAGCGCGCTGCTCCCCTCCAGCTCTGCAGACTGATGCTCGCTACCATCTGCTGCACTGTCAGTTTGCTTTCGTTCGCTTCGGCTTGCTGCGACTATACCAGCTATGCCCTCCGCTCCAGCATCCTTTGAAGTCCCATCCTGGTCATCGCCAGCCTTCATGCCGGGACGGGCCGGCGGCGAGTTGCGGCGACTCGGCATGCCGCACGCCTTCGTCACGTGAGACTCAAGGCCCCCAAGCAGTGCTTCTGGGACCTTGATGCCCACGTCCGTCTCGGAACCTATTTCTTGCAGGCTTGTTTTAAGCGAGACTTTCGCGATTGCATTCGGCAGTGAAGCCGAGTTTTGCGGACTGACGCTGTTCTGTGGAAACCGCTGCGAACTCGAAGCACCCGGTTTCGGGTCCTGGACTGCCAGAGCCGGCAGGACAACGTGGGCCAGGGGTTTGCTCGGGTGTGGCCGCAAAACGCGGCCGACGGCCTGAATGATGCTCACGTAGCTGCTGCGCGGCTCCACAAACATGCAGGTATCCGCATTCGGGATGTTGACGCCCTCGCCCAGCACCTGAACCGTCACCAGCACATGCACGGGCTTCTTCAACTCGCCCGTGAATATCCGCATCACCCGCTCACGTTCACGGCGGCTGGTCTCGCCGTTGATGTGCCACGCCGCCAAACCCACGGTCTCCAACACCCGCCGGAACCGCTTGGCTTCCGCGATGGAGTTGCAGTACGCCAGCACTCGACGGAAGCGCCCGGCCTGCGTCAGCAGCAAGTTCGCAAGGCAGGTGTAGGGGTGGCCCTCGGTCGTTACCGGCACCGTGAGGTCGTAATCGCACAGCACGCCCTGCTCGATCGCGTCCCCGAGACTGTACCGGAAGTCCGCCTCCTCCTTGTGTGTCGCAGAGAACTTGAAGAGGTCCTTGCAGCTCGGCATCCCTTTTGGCAGCGGGTGATGGGCTTCGTCGATGAAAGCGGCCTCGAACTTCAACTTTTTTAGAAGCTGCACGGAGTCGGTGACGGCAACGAAGCCTCGGGAGTCCATGTCGATCTTGTCGTTGTAACCCATGCCCACCTTGCAGAAGCCCGGCAGCTCTTCGGCGAACTGCTCCAAGAGCACGCGCGAGGGGACGGTGACCAAGACCTGCGTCCAGAGTCTGCAACAATCCTCACAAGGATGCCTGTCACCTTTAGTTGGACCCATTTATCTTCACAGCCGGACCCAAAACTCTCAATAAGAACTCCTGCTGAACTCGCGACCTTGCCGGACTGCTTCTCGGCCAGCTCGCGCACAACGCGTGTCTTCCCTGTGCCGCAGGCCATCTCGATCACCCGAGCTCCTTTGGCGCACGCCTCGAAGCATGCCTGCTGGCACGGCCGCAGCGCGCCGTCGGGCGTCGGGTGGCCGTCCGCCGCGCCGGATGTGAGTGCCAGTGCGGAAGCGGCATCCTGGCAAATCTGGGACAAGCACTTCTTCGTGAGGATTTTGCTCTGCCCCCCATACTTGCGCAACCAGCTTTTTGAATCGACGGAGATCTTGCAGCCGCGGAGAGTCCAGAGAGTGCACCCAGCATCCTGTGGAATTGGAGTTGGGTCCATCATGCAAGTGAGCGTGCAGGACATGTGCAGGACCCTATAGCGTATAGGTTGATCGGGCAAAGCACCTGAACCCCTGGCGCACCTTGCACACGCACGGGGCAGATCGCAGCAAGCGCTTCACATCCGTGTGGGAGGCGTTCTCAGCCCGGCAGAGAATCGCCCGCCACCCATCCAAGCTGAAGAGGTCCGCACCTGCTTTGTCAAGCTGCAAGCGGGAGATGGCAGAGCAACATGCAGCGAACCCATGGTTTCAGAATGTCGCTTAGGAGGAGGTTGACCAGCAAGTCGATTGTGCTCCTGGCCTAGCGCTTGGCGGCGGGTGAAGTTGTGCCGCTGGAAGAACCACGGAGGCAACTCCTGGGACTGAGATTGGAGGTGGAGCTTCAAACGTTCACGTATCGTTCACGCCTTCCTTGCTATAGCAACGGGCGATGATGGCTCCCGCTCCTGTGTGGGCACGGCGTCGAACTCCAGCACCGCGGCCCAGACCAGTCGCTGCTGGTCCTCGAGAAACGGCCACGCCAGCGCCTGCAGCGCCGGTCGACAAAAAGCTTGCTGACCTTGTCTACGTACCATTCGTCCTGAGCAGAGCACTCTCTTAGGTCATATTGATATTGAAAATTCTATGGTACGGTTGAAGTCACGCATGAGTATCACAACCCATCCTTCCCACCTCCCGCGCCAGGCCGCGGAGGTGCTCCATGAAGGCCGCGTCGCGACCTGCCGCCCAAGCCAAATCGAGACTGCAAGCAACACATCCACACATCCGCAGCTACACGAGGGCTGACGAACCAGGCTAGCATTGAATTTCAGTCAGGCTGCTCTGCTCGTCGATTCCAAGCTCCTCCACGCCAAGGCTCGGAGCTCTCCCGGCGGCGGCAGCGCTCCTCGTCCTCGCAAGTGAGGACGCCAACTCAACGTGCAGAGCAGAAGATACATCACTCTGTTGTGTGCATGCGGGCGGAATCCTTGGTAGTTCCTGCCGTCGTGACCCAGTCGGGTGCACGAAAGGTGGGGCCGTCACCCAAATGATCCCAAGGAGGAGTCCGCAGAGAATCAGGCTCGCAGCCTTTCTGCTGCCACTCCTTCCGAGCTTGCGCAAGGCAAGAACCTGATCCTTGGGCATGGGTTGCAAAAGGGAGCGCATCAATGTCGGAATTCCATTTGGCGGACAGGCGCACCGCTTGTGAGCCCTCCAGCTGCAGCAAGACGGGAGATTAGTCGCGAAATGCACCCGAATGCAGAAGCACAGCTGCAAGATCTGCAAAATCCGGCTACGCATTTATAATTAATAAAGCACTATACACCGAGCGCGCTTTGCTCTCGCATGCGCTTTGTTTTTAGAACACGGGGCTGGGTGGGTCAAACAAAATGACACAGACAAGGCTGCATCAACTTGAGCGAACAGAGAATGAACCAGACGTTCAGCCAGATGTTGGCATTCCACATGACAAGTTCATTACAGTCCAACCTCAGCATGATATCACCACTCCATTCCCCTGTCGGGAAGATACGTCTTGGAAATGGTGCAATGCGAAAGACGCCAGAAAATGCGCACAGACTTCGTATTTTCCACCGGCACTCAAGGCCTGCACTATAAGGCCTGGCTCGGATCGCTCTCCACCCTAGGGACAAAAGAGCTTTGTTGGAATCATTTTTGAGACAGCAGGAAACGCCTGTATGGATTATGTAGGGACAACGTAGGGGCGACAATCCCATCAACCCACCTCACGGACAGACGTTTGTGAGCTTGTTTGGGTCTTCTTCTTTTCGGGCTTATCTACGGTAAGCCAGGACTCTCTCGGCAGTGGTCGTCGGCCAAGACGGCGATGCCAGCATGCCCGTTTCGGGCTTTGACTCACATTCTGGCGATGGTGTTTGCGCGGGCTCAGAGGGAGGTCTGGTGGTATGGATTCTATGGGGTGGGCTAGGCCAGGGTACAAGCATGATACTAGGGTTGCAACGATGCCCTTCTCCTGCCAAAACAATCTACAACATGATCCACAATTATCCAGCAATGTGAACTTCGAGCGGCCAAAACACACCACAGCGATTTGCTCATCTTCATTCATCTTCCCATCCAACCTTGTACGACGCGGTGCGCCTGGACGCCTACATTGTGTGCAGCATGGTGGTCCTGAGGCGGATCTCAGGGAAGTGACTTCACGCTTGATTCTAAAGAACAGGACGCAATAAACCCAGGAAAAGTGAGGGTCTCACACAGTTCGGATTCTGTATATGAACCATGGCAAAGCTTTCAAAAGACGCTCTGGGGGAACCGTCTGCTGCTGCAGCCCTCACTAAGGGTCGGTTTGAGATGTGTGGGGTTTAGGAATCAAAGACAGGAAAATTTCCTGTATCATGGGGTAGATTTTTGGGAGATCTCGGATATAGGTTGCTCTGGCCCCACACTGCCACTACCACCCCAAACTGCTGCAGCCCGTCCTGGATTGCGGCGGCATGGATGACCAGCGCAGATATCAAAGCCAGAAGGGGGGGGTTGCGCATGTCAAGTCAAAAGCGCTACATGGATGGGCCTGCGAATAGGACTTGGGGCCAAAAGGCGACAAAAGCGTAAAGGGGGGCGCTTCTGCGTGCCCTCCGAGTCTTGACCCATCGACGCCCGAATCACAGGTGCATGCTGCATGCAAGTCGCAAAGCGTGCCTGACTTCAAAGCCCAAGACCCTCAAGACCCCCTCAGGCAACGTTGTGAAGGAGTTGAGTGGGGCTTGGAGCTGTCCGTCACGCCTTCAGTCAAAGGTACAACGCGCAGTTTCAGCCTGCCAATACTGTGGGCGAACGAAATGCGCATCCAATCTTTGCAGACCGCAGTCAGTCTCTGATGCTTCTGCTACTCAACATCATGGCAGTTACCGATGGCTTGGAAATGCTCTCCTCTTCATGCTCTTTCGGAGCTGAGCGTGGCTGATGACTTGTGCAAAAAAGCAAGCTTCATCCTCAAACTGTTTCCGAGCTGCATGCAAGCTGCGTGCTTCCGAAACAAGACAAAAAAGGCCAAACCAGACTGACCTAGACCTGCACAGGTTGCTCGATACCGTTGTCCGAAACCTTGAGATCCAAGTTCTTTGACAGCATCAGGCTGGCGGGCGTCGGGTCGCGAGTGATGAAAGCTGTGGAGAAAGGCCAGCGCTCGACCGATGGCACTGCGCAGCCCAAGCTGGCGAAGCGCCACCTGCTTTTCTTCATACCTTGGCAGGTCACCTGTCTCCCAATACTCAGAAGCGAACATGACTGGGTACTCCGGATCCAAGCAGGCCCGGTCCGGATGGCGCATGGGCGCGAAGAGTTGGATCTCATAGATGCGAAGAGTTGGATCTTGTAGAGAAGCTCCTCGGTATTTTGGGCCTCGACGTCAGCGTCGTGGATGCTCTCCTTTACTGGAGACAGGGCTTCCATCATATTGGCGACGTCACCTGCGTTGGAGATCTGATGGCTGATGGTGATGTCCGCTGGCATGACTTGGCCCCGAATCCAACTCCTCACGTGCTCAAGTGCCAACAAGCCGCTCTGTGCAAGCATTGAAGTAGGGAATGGTTCATTCGCTCGATCCGGGGTGTGGAAAGTGTTTCTGGGAGCTGGGCCGGAGTCTGTCCAATCGTCGTCATTCTGCAGAACCAGAGTTTAAAGATCATTACGTCGTTACAAAGTTAAGTCTGCAAAAAACACATGGCTTCCAGAGCCGCCTCTTGACCTTGACTCTGTACTTATGCGCTTGCTTGACCTCGTCCATATTTCGCAACAAACGCATCAAGCTTTGCCAGAAGCTAGAGCCGCGTCGTTCTTGTGCTGCTCAGCAGCATCGGGCCAGCGAGGAAGATAAGGCTTTTGTCAAGCTCGCGCTCGCCAACAGGACTCGCCGACTCGCCAGTGCTTCGGAGCAGCGGTTGTGTTCTCGGACAAACCGCCGCAATTCCTCCACGCGACGCTCAGAGTCTGTCGAAGGATTCCAAGTCTTTCTTTGCTCTGTGCTGAGAAAGCTCACTGGAGGCTGTGACATCCTGGACATGTTTTTGTTTGACATGTCGCAAGGTCTGCATGCACTTCGCCATGATGTGCTGGAGAAGCCCTCCATCTCTGCACAAGGTGCTCTAGGGATGCTGAGTCTTCAGCGTCAGGCGACTGCACATGCTGCACTGAATGACCTGGAAAGATCGGCTAAGCTTGTGCTGTGGCCTGCACTCAAGGCTCATCATGCAAACCCCACGGGCGCTGCCACAACTCATACTCCGCTTTCCAAATATGCAGCGATTGCCGGATGGGAACCGAAAAGTGCTGCACGAAGATCGGAGGGGAGACTCGCGAGCAGTCTCCGCTGCCTGACCAACCAAATATTCAGGCTGCTCTCTCCACGCCTTCCATGCTTCCCAATCTCGCCATACTTCCGGCTCGGCAGTCTGTGGTTCGTTCTCACAAAGTCACGAAGTGCAGAAAACCGTGCCTTCCATAGCCTCAATTGGACTCTGGGCTTTCTTGGCCTTAACCCCACCCACTCTGCCACAACGGGGTCGAGCTTCGCCAAAAGCCGGAGCCGCTTCGTTCTAGTGCTGCTGCTTAAGCCGGGTTTAACTTTGTCCATCAGCCCATTGAGCAGCTTGCGCTCGCCAGCAGGACTCGCTCTGCCTCCCTGGGGCATGCGGTTATGAGTTTGGACAAACCGCTGCAACTCCTCCACTTGCCGCTCGAAGACTGTAGGAGGAGCAGGATGCAGCCACCGCGAAGCAACTGCCCTTATCATTATACACGATGAGTTCAGCATTTTCTGCATATTGTCGGATGGGAGACTCTGCTTCTTCTGCCTGTAGCCGATATTGCCCAGCCAGAGGCCCAAAAGTCTCTCCGTAGGACTTGAACTTCGCTGGCGCGGTAGCCTGCCATGCTCCTGGACAAACCGCTGCAACTCCTCCAGCCGCCTCTCAAAGGCTGTGGAAGGATCTAACCACTTCTCAGCACGGGCCCTCAAACTGTCACACGATGAGTTCAACAGCTTCTGCATTTTCGCGGCTGGGAGCTTCCGCCTTGTGTGCATGTAACCGACATTACGCAGCCAATTGCCCAATATCCTCTCGCCAAGCGACGTGCTTCTCTGGCCCGGGAGCCTGCCACGCTCCTGAGCAAACTGCTCGACGGCTTGCAAATGGACATCCCATGGATCGTGCTGCTTCAGGACCATTGCCAGCTCATATTGCATGCTGCGAACCAGTGGATGCAGTGAAACCTCTCGGTTCAATCTGCCGTCGGTTACCCAAAGGCGAGACTGCAAATACCTTGCATCCTGCTCAGCAAAGCGGCTGTCAGTTCTTGCTATCGCGCCCAGGAACCGATCCAACTGCTCTGAGTAGCTGCTCCCAAGAAATTCAGCATCACCAGCGGCCCGTGTCCTCACTCTGAGATTGCGGCCGGGGCAGGGTGCCCCGATTTTGCTTCCGTTTCCGTGGTCACGCGTCACAGCCTCAACACTCGACAGGCTGCTGTCCTGGCCCAAAGCCTGGACCCGCGGCCCAACGTCAAGGAGGCATGGTTGCTGCAATTTCACTGCAGACTCACACATTGACATGCCGACTGCTGATCTTGAATGGCCAGGTCTGCTGAGAGGCGTGAACCCGAAGTCAGGCATGCTTGCAACCAGGCCTGGGTCCGAGTCAGATGCTGCTAGTCTGGGAGCTGTTGACTGCTGTGTTGTCACAATACGATTACGAAGCCATGCCTCTCCGGCCGTAAGCTTCGGAACTGGCACGAGCGGCTCACCAGCCCGATCCACGCTGCCCCCTTCGAGCTCTGCAGACTGATGCTCGCAACCATCTACACTTTGCTTTCGTTCGCCTCGGCCTGCTGCGGGTACCCCAGCTATGCCCTCCGCTCCAGCATCCTTTGAAGTCCCATCCTGGCCATCTGCAGCTTTCTTGCCGGGAAAGGCCGGCGGCGAGTTGCGGGCACTTTGAGTGGCGGAGGCCTCCCAAATGTGAGGCTCAAGGCCTCCAAGCAGTGTTTCTTGAAGCGCGATGCGGGTGTCCACGACCCTCTCTGGCACTGGGCTTTCGTGAATGCTTGAAGAAGGCGAGGCCGTCGAGACCTCTGCGCTTGCATGTGGCGGTGCCTCTGAAGAAACTGCGACTTGCGGACTGGCGCTCTTTGCAGAAATCGGGAGTGCACCAGCCGGACTGTGAGGGACTGCAAGAGCGGGCAGGACGACGTGGGCCAAGGGCTTGCAAGGGTGCGCCCGCAACACCCGGCCGATGGCCTGCACGATGCTTACGTAGCTGCTGCGTGGCTCCACGAACATGCAGGTGTCTGCGTTCGGGATGTTGACGCCCTCGCCAAGCACCTGAACCGTCACCAGCACATGCACGCGCCTCGTCAACTCACCAGAAAATTGGCGCATCACCCGCTCGCGTTCCTTGAGGCTGGTCTCGCCATTGATGTGCCACGCCGCCAACCCCACGGTCTTCAACACGCGCCGGAACCGCTTGGCTTCCGCGATGGAGTTGCAGTACGCCAACACTCGCCGGAAGCGCCCGGCCTGCGACAGCAGCAGGTTGGCCAGGCAGATGTAGGGGTGGCCCTCGGTCGTTACCGGCACGGTGAGGTCATAATCACGCAGCACACCCTGCTCGATCGCCTCGCCCAGACTGTACCGGAAATCCACTTCCTCCTTGTGCGTCGCAGAGAATTTGAAGAGATCCTTGCAGCTCGGCATCCCCTTCGGCATAGGGTGATGCGCCTCGTCGATGAAAGCGGCCTCGAACTTCAACTTTTTCAGCAGCTGCACGGAGTCGGTCACCGCAAGGAAGCCGCGTGCCTCCATGTCGATCTGGTCGTTGTAGCCCGTGCCCACCTTACAGAAGCCCGGCAGCTCTTCGGCGAACTGCTCCAGGAGCACACGTGATGGGACGGTGACCAACACCTGCGACCAGAGTCTGCGACAAACCTCACAAGTGTCACCCTTCATCGTCACATTCTGATACCTGAATGCCTGAACCAGAATTCAGAACTCCTACTTAGAACTCCTGCTTGCAACTGTTGCATGGTGACCTTGCCAGGCTGCTTCTCTGCCATCTCCCGCATCACGCGCGTCTTCCCGGTGCCGCAGGCCATCTCGATCACCCGAGCTCCCTTGGCGCACGCCTCCAAGCACGCCTCCTGGCACGGCCGCAGCGGTGGATCGGACGTGGGCCTGCCGTGCATCTTGCCAGATGCCAGTGCGGAGGCGGCATCCTGGCAAACCTGGGACAGCCCCGTCTTCGTGAGGATCTTGTGCTGCCCCCGGTACTTGCGCAGCCAGCTTTTGGAATCGGGGGAGATCTTGCAGCCCCGGAGGGTCCAGAGCGTGCACTCGGCATCCTGCCAGAAGTGGGAGCTGGGTCTGACATGCAACGGAACTCGGAGGACCGACTACATGAGTTGATCGGATAAAGCACCTGACCCACCCACCGTGCCTTGCACACACACGGGGCTGTTCGCAGGAACCGCTTCACATCCATGTGGGAGGCGTTCCCAGCCCGGCAGAGAATCGCCCGCCTCCCGTCCAAGCTGAAGAGGTCCACACCTGTTTTTCGTTAGGCTGTAAATGGGAGATGGGAGCAACAGCAGACTCTGGGTCCTTCAACATCGGCATATACGAGGTTGACCAGTAAGTTTGTTGCGATCCTGGCCTAGCCGGCGGCGGGTGAAGTCGTGCCGCTGGAAGAACCATGGAGGCAACTCCTGGCATGCAAGCTGGAGGCGCAGCTTCAAACGTTGCAAAAAATCTGAGCCACTCACGCCTTCCCTTGACGAGCGATGGCTCCCGTTCCTGCGTGGGCACGGCGTCGAACTCCAGCACCGCGGCCCACACCAAGCGCTGCTGGTCCTCGAGGAATGGCCACGCCAACGCCTGCAGCACTAGTCGACGAAACCTGCTGACCATGGGTTCCTCTCATCATACTAAATTATAGCATCTTTAGGCACAGACCATGGGTGAGTACAGCTGGCCTCAATTCTTCGTCCATGCAAGAGCACTGTCGTAGCTGCTAGCTCGGAACCGGGTACGGTCGATGTCAGGCGCAAATATCACACCCCATCCATCCTTCCCACCTCCTGTGCCAGGCTGCAAAGGTGCTCCATGAAGGCCGCGTCACGACCTGCTGTCCCGCAGCCAGCCGAACGACCGACTGGGTCACGTTATAGTAAACATAACTGCAGCTACGGAAGGGCCTCAAACCAGGGCACGCCTCAGTCCATCACTTTGCTACTTTAGCGTGCAGCCAGGCTGCTCTGCTCGTCGATTCCAAGCTCCTCCACGCCAAGTCTCCGAGCTCTCCCGGTGTCGGCAGCGCACCTCGTCCTTGCAGCAAAGGACGCGAACTCTTAGTACAGAGCACCCACACACCGCTTCTTGTACATCATGCTCGTGTGTCATCGCTGAATCCTTGGAAGGCTGGGCAGTTCCTGCCGTCTGCACACGGTCGGGCACACAAAAGGCGCCGCAGCCCAAACGATCCCAAGAAGGAGTCTGCAGAGGAGCAGGGCCGCAGCCCTTCTGCTGCCACTTCTTCCGTGCTTGCGCAAGCTAAGAACCGGATCCTTGGGCATGGGTGGGCAGAACGGAGCGAATTTCGGAATTCCATGTGGTGGGCAGGCGCACAGTTTGTGAACCCACTGGCTGCAGCAAGACGGGCGATTAACAGCGACATGCCCCTGAATGTAGCCAACTAAGCTGAAAGAGCAACTGAACCATCTCCAAACATCAGGCGATAAGCATTCACAAAGCACAACACTCAAAGCGCTTATTCGCACTCGCTTTCACTGGACTCCTATCCGTATGCAAGATGGAAGGGTGGGTCAAATACCAGGAATTCATTACAACAGACAAGGTTGAACGTGGAAAGAATCAGATGTTCAGCCAGATGATGGCATGCAAAACCCAGAATGTCCTCAGAACAACTGCTTGCGCTGTAGTTCTACATTCTACATGGTAAGTTTAACCTCATGATAAAATTCCCTGTTTTGGGAAGTTACACCTTGGCAATGGGGCTTCGAAAAACGCCAGAAATTGCGCACGGACTCATTTCCAAACGGCACGGTGTCAGAGAGGGAGGGGGGAAACAGAGTGCGGGAGACAGCGAGAGAGTCAGTAGCGGAAAACTGCGTGCGAACTGCTTGCTTACTAACCTCGGCGCCGCCAAGGAGCGCACAATCACTATCAACTTGCAGCGCACCAAAGTTTTTGCAACTTTGTCAAATTTGCTTGATCGAAGAGACCGAATTTAAGTTAACGCAACGTAGGGTGGCTGTGCTCGAGTAGCCTATCAACAATAGAAAAGAGGCATGTCAGAGCGCATCTAGGTCGAGCATGTCAATGGGAGAAGCGTCCACGAAATTCGTTGTTTTGCTCGGTCAGCACGAAATGGTGTCTTCCATCTGCCAGCCAAACACAGAGCTCCGCACAGGCCGACGCAGTGGCAAAGTTGGAGCCGACGAGCAGCCCTGCTGGTGACGGGGCGTTGGACTTGACGATGCTCAAACCTGCCGTATCCTGCACGATGAAAGCACAGAGGGCCGGGCTGTGGACGTCATTGCAGGGCAAAAGGCTGGCTTTGGGTTCATGGCTTCCTCACATCTTCGACCTCGCTCTTCAACTCCAACATGATGGAACCCGTCACCTCGCCCTGCAAATTCCATTGGTGATCTGGGCACTGCAGAGGGCTGAAGACACTGAAGTTGATCAAGCAGCAACTGCCTCAACCTGCGCGAGGCGCACGCGCACCGAAATCGGCACCGCAAGTCGCAAAGAGCGCCGCCCAGGAGTCCTGAACAGCTCTGGATCCACAGGCCTCCAAAGGCCACGATGTTGCTGCAAGTTCCGAAGTCCACCTCAAGCTCCTCCAGCAAGCTTGGAGCGCGCTCTGGAGTAGCTGCGCGGAGGCATCCATGCGTACCGGAAGCTTCCTCTGGACGGCATCGGCCAGAAACATGCAGTGCACTGCGAGGTAGTCGCTCTCAGCCCTTTCGCTCTCCCACGTCAACTGCTCGAGGGCAGGAAGCCTTGACCCAACTGCAGGGCACAAGGACCGGTCGGTCTCCAGGAAATGCCTCACCGCCTTGATGGCTGCGCTGCGGCAGGCGCTGTGGTTGGTACGCACGCACACTTGCATCAAGCTCTGCACAGTGGCTTTGTTGAACCTGCCAAGCAGGTGTGGCCCACACTTGCCACAGGCACGGCAGAATTGCAGCGTGATGTCGTTGTCCGCATACAGGAGCCAGTGCAACATGTCCCGAGCAAGCAGATGGCGCACTGCCTTGTTCTCGCCCGTTGCGAACAAGTGCCCGGCAGCAACAGCGGTGAACCGCTGCACATTTTTCGCAACATCCCTGGGTGCACGGAAGCAGTGCGCCCTCATGCTTCGTATACTTGGCAGAACAGCAGTGGGCCCCATCAACTTGTACCACCGGTTGAATCCGTTGAAGAACGACCAGAGACCTGCAAGAAGAGTAGCAGGAGTCCATTCTTTCGACTCCAAAAATCAAGGGGTCTTGTTAGAGCTACAAGATCCCGCAGAACCTTCCAAAGCAGGCAAGAAAAAAGTGTGCGCGCTGGTGCCAGATTTTTCCCCCCGGAGCCTGATTTCCCCACCTGGAGGCGGGGGCCATCCTCCAGATGCTCCCACAACTTCGCATCGCCTGTCTTGCACCATTCGCCCGTGGCCGCGAACACGTCCGGCCTGAGCATCAGACTCTACCCGTCTCCAGGCCCCATCCCTGCTTTCCAAAAGCTCGAAAAAGCGAGAAAACGCACCTCGAATGCTCCACGAGCTCGAGCATGTGTCGCACCAAGGCCTGCAAACGCGCCGAGCCCGAGAAGCAGGCTCGAAGCTGGAGACGGGTTTAACGTCTAGGGTTTGGGGTGTAGGGTGTCTTGGGGGGCAAGCCTTGGAATGCAGGTGCTCATGGACTTCGCGGCAGGAAGCACGGAACTGGGCGAAGCTCTCGACCTCAGCGGGGTTCAAGTTGGCCCAAGCTGCGCATTCTGCCGGCCATTCCACGCCACGGGGCAGGTAAGTGCGCGGACAGCTGCCGGGAGAAACTCGGCTCGCAGACTTCAAAGCACAGCACAACTTTAAACAAATCTCCGCTGCAAGACTCAGCTTCTTCTGAGTGCAAAGGCTTGTGGAAGACTGCTGCGGCGTCGGCCACGGGGCTCGTGTCGAGGCTCGGAGCCTGGCACTTGGGTCCGGGCAGAGAGATGTGGGAGTTTACGTTAACATAGGGGACCCCCAATATAATAGGATTCCCTTATCATCAGGAAAATAGGGGACCCCCAAAAAAGATCTCCAAATAGTAGGATTCCCTTATATAATAAGGAAGGACCCCAAGAAGGTGCCCCTAATTTCGTAAACCCCATGTTTTGTGTTGAGGGAAGCTTTAGAAAATGCACAGCCAAGCCTGCACAGTGCCTGCTCAAGGTCGATGCTGAGGTATGCATGATAGGCATGACGGGGATGTGATGAGCAACATGGAACCCTTAACCTCTCAAAAAGGCCACTGCGAGACAGGATCAACCAAAGAATGGGCTGGTGACTGTGTGCAGAAACCCGGAAAACGGGCCACGGCTTGAAACCCCGAGTCCGCAAGCCTGATCTCCCTCCCCCCCCCCCCCTCCCAGGATCAGAGACAGCCATAGCCATAGCTCATACTGGTCCCAAAGATTATGCCACACGGAGGCAAGCCTTCACAAACTCGCCGAACTCGACGCCATCAAAGGCCTGCCACAGCTGCACCATCTCTCATCTCCCTGGGAAAAAGGGCGACCGTGGGTCCGAGGGTGCGGCTTCCGCATAGTCGTCCGTGATGAACGCCACGTCTGGCTCGGATGACCTGCCAGCACCAGCTGAATACCTTTCTCATGACTTTCGGAAAAAATGCCAAACACAACTCGCCATCCAAGGGTGCAGCAACTGCTCCTCAGTTGCCATTGGCATCTGAGCAGCACGAAGCACGGCAGCGTGCGCCTCGGCCAAAACAGCAGCTGAGTAGCAACTAGCCCTGGTATAGCACCCTTCAAAATCACCACAGGCGCCAGGCCCTTTCTGCACGTCCGCATCCACCGCTGAAAACCTACATGGAAGAAAGGCACAAACAATTTAAGAGACCAGCTTTCCCCACATCCCGGTGTCACTGCAAGCTCCGAGTTCCCTGAACCCAGGAAGCCTGACATCCGTTGAGAAGCCAGCTCCAAACACCGGTGCCGCAGCCATGAGAGCAGGTCATGGCGACTAGCCGCGATGGAGCCTTCTGGCCCAGGATGGCTCCAAAGCTCCGATTGCGGGCAAAGCTGAAAACTCAATGTGCCGAATCTCAGGCTTGCTGTAGCACCGCTATGTCAAGACAAGTTCACAGCTTTGGGGCAGATATCTAACACTGCATAATGATGTATACTGTCTATCGCAAGTCTGGTCCGTGTTGAACACAAACGCTGCAATACCTCAACGTCCATCGCGTGGCAGCAGCTACCGCAACCGACTCGTTACAAGGCGCGGCTTCCATGATTGAAAATCGTGGATCTCTCGTTCCATCGGATTTAAATATATTCATGCGAATGAGCACAAACAAGTGGTAAAGTGGTGGGAACCATCATCAGCAATAACCACCTCAGAACCCATGGTAGGGGGTGGTTCGCGGTGCCTGGATTCCCCCACCCTGCGTAAAGGGGCATATGCAACACCTGGAATGGTTCCTAGACACACCCTGTGGGAAACATGGAAGCCTGGCAAACTTGCACCGATGATTGTCTCTAGGAAGTGCACGCCAAAGGTCCCTTAAAAACATGGATGTGGGCGGACTTTTGCTCCATTGCACTGTGGGCAGTGTTTTGGTTGCTTGTTCCGGCACACCTTGTGGGAGGGGAGAAGAAAGAAGTGAAGCGTTTGTGGTTGTTGTGCCAATTGGAGCAAAAAAGCACGCCCAAGGTGCACTTGGGTTGCTTGGAGCACGCAGCCTAATTGGGGCAAAGTAAATTTGTCGCCTCGCGTCACTTGGCTTTATGGCGGTTTCTTTCTAGTTGGATCTTTCCAGGCCATGAGGGGCAAAGAAAGGAGCAGTGCAGAAGCAGAAGCAACTGTACCCGTTGTCTTCCCGAGGTGCACTGTGGGGCGGTTATGAGCTGAGGTTGCCGGCAAGAGCCACAAGCTCGCTCAAGGCGGGCTTTTTTGTGCAGCTTTACCACTTCACTTGACGGCTTCTGCTTGGTGAAATAATGTGGTACGTAACTTTTGCTACTCGTCCAAGCTGCCTGGCCTTCCGAAGGCTGCAGAAAAAACTTCAAGCTGCCACTCATTCATTGCATCTGAAGTCAGATGTCATTCGCATCCATGGTTTCTTGAGCATGCCGTGACTTGGAGATTTAGAGGAGACTAGGTGTCGGGATGGTCTTCGGCGAAACTCCTGACCACAGACAGGCGGGTTCAAGATCATTCTGCTGTAAGATCACGAAAGCTTTGTGGACGGGCCAGTCTTGAAACCCACCCCCTCCGGCCGCCCGCGTATAACAATGCTTGTTGCTTGTTGGAAGGCAGCCCAAAAAAAACTTGCTTGTTCGAACACGCGGCGCATGCCTAGCTTTCGTAGCTACAGGTTCAAATATTTAGGCTGAAGAGAAATCCATGGACCAACATTTTGCAAAGTAGCAAGCTCCAGTTCATGAGCCCACGCAGTTGGCCACGAGCCGTGGGTAGGCCAAGACCTTCAAGTCTGCGCATTATCTGCAAGATTTGAACGTTTCGTTCCTTCAGCTATCTGCTGTTGAAGATTGTGGCCTGGCCTGCGCTGCAATGCTACCCCGGAATGCACCAAGCTTAGATTGGCCTAGGTTTCTCGCTGCCTGGGCAGGCTGGAAGCGAAGTGCTTGGAGCCGATGGCGCGGTCATCTGAGAGGACCAAGAAGCCAAGGCCTGGCCCTGAGAATGGAATGCTCCACCACCTCCCCCAAGCCCCAAGCCCCGAAGGTGTTCGCCGTTCACCTGTTGCTCCGCATCCTGAGGCCTTTTTGGCTGAGCATCAGGGTTCGGAGGGTTGGGGTCCAAAAAGCTGTGTGCCTGCACTGCAGGACATTGCCCGAGCTTGAAACTGTGCCCACGTAAGCTTTCGCCGGGACGAGGCGGCCGGCGCGAAGCATTTAACAGATGTGTGGCAAGTCAACTATGAAATACTAGCACGCCCTTGGTTCTGGAAAATTGGCTTAGTTTCGGCTTGTCTGCGCTTCTGGCTGTGCTGTCAGCATCCATCCAAACAGCTTCCTTCCCCCCGAAGATCCGAAAACCTTCCAAGTCTTTCTTCTCTCTGCGCTCATGTGCTGAGAAGGCTTATGCCGCTTGGAGCTTTGACATCCTAGACACCTTTTTTGCACACATCTTGCCAGACCACGTTGGTGGGCTCAGGAGCCCCATGGATCTCTGCACAGCAAGTTCTAAACTTCTCAACACGCGGGTCTTCCACCAGACGACCACACAAGTTCGGCATGCGTCGCATCGACCTGGACTGTCAACCAAGCTGCTTGCGATCAAGGCTACAAATCCCCACCACTCCATGTCATACTGAGATGTGGAAGTATGCGGCAATCATTGGGTGGGAATCGACAAGTGCTTCTTGGAGCTCGGAGGGGAGACCAGCGGCTCGATGCCGCTGCTTGAGCAGCCAGGTATAAAGACTGTTCTCCCGATGATTCTTCCTGCGTGGCAGTCTCTGGTTCGTTGTCACGAAGTCGAGAAGTCTGCGAAAGCTTGTATTCCACGGTCCCAATCGGATTCTGGGCTTCCTTGCTTGCCTTGAGTTTGCCCAATTGGCAATTATGGGGGAGAGCTTTGCCAACAGTTGAAGCCGCTTCATTCTAGTGCCGGGCCTTAGCGTGGGCCTCACGAGTTGCGCCAGGTTTTCGGACAGCTCGCGCTCGCCAGCGGAGCTCGTTTTTGTCTTTCGGGGCATGCGGTTATGCTCTTGGACAAAACGTTGCACCTCCTCCACTAGACGGTCAAAGGCTGTCTGCCTGTTAGGATCCAGCAATTCCTCAGCATGGGCCCGTATAATGCTACTCGATGAGCGCAACAACTTCTGCAAGTTGGTGGCTGAGAGCCTGTGCTTCTTCAACAAGTAGCCGACCCTTCGTAGCCACATGCTCAAACTTCGCTCCCCAAACGCAGAGCTTTCCCGGTGCGGGAGCCTGTCATGCTCTTGGACAAACTGCTGCAGCTCAGCTAGTCGACGCTCAAAGTCTGTAGAGGGATCCAGCCACCGTGCAGTACGGGCCCTCAAGCTGTCGCAAGATGAATTCAACAACTTCTGCATTCTGGCGGCTGTAAGCATGTGCCTCTTGTGCGCAGAACCGACGTTGTGCAGCCACACTCCCAAAACCTTCTCCTCGGGCAACATGGCCTTCTGGCGCGGGAGCCTGCCATGCTCCCGGGCAAACTGCTCGACTGCCTGCAAACGCAACTCCCAGGGATCACGTTGCCGCAGGATCTCTGCCAACTGATACTGCATGCTGCGAACCAATGGATGCAATGAAACTTCTCGGCTCAATCTGCAGTCGGTTACCCACAAACAAGACTGCACATGCCCTACGTCCTTCCCAGCAAAGCGGCTGTCACTTCTGCTGATCGCACACAGGAACCGATCCAGCTGTTCTGACAAGCTTCTCCCGAGAAATCCAGCATCACCAGTGACCCTTGCACTGAGCCTGGAAGTGGGGCCAGGTTTGGGTGGTCCCGTGCTGCTTCCACTTCCGTGGTCCCGCGTCGTAGCCTCAACGCTCGATACCTCTGTCTGGCTGCTTTCTTGGCTCGCGGCCTGAAGAAACGATGTCTGTTGAGATGTCGCAGCGCCTGCTGCCAGTGAACGGGCAGGTCCGCTGACTGGCCCAGACTCCAAGGCAGCCATGCTCGCCATGCTTGCCGAGGGGTGTTCATTCGAAGAGCGCCGTACAACCGGCGTGACAGGCCCAGTGCCATTCGCTTCAACAAGGCCTGGGTTCCAAGCATGCAGCACCGAGTCGGATGCACCGGAAACCGCTGATTGTCGCGTTGTCCCAACTCGACTGTGAAGTCCAGCATCTTGCACGCTGCCGGGCTCCATGTCCAGTGATGCTGCAAGTGCTGCTGTGCCATCTTTGTCCGTCGTCGAAGGCTGTGGAGCTGGCCCAAGCAGCTCCCCGGCCTCCTCCTCGCTGCTCGCTTGGGGGCTTTTTGACCGATGCCTGGTACCATCCACGACACTTGCAGGTTGCGTACGTTCCCTGCCGCCTGCTACCGCTCCAGCACGCTTTGAAGTGGCAGCCTGGCCATCCGCTGCTTCGGTGCTGGGAGAGGCCGGCGGCGAGCTGCGGATCTGAGATTGAGGCGCAACCTCGGTTCCTATGTCCTCCGGGCACTCGTGAATGCTGGAATATGGCGAGACTTCCGTGATCGCTGCGCGCGGTGCGTTGTGTGAACTGCCACTGTTCACAGGACTCGGTTGCATACTCGAAGCAGCCAGCGTCGGGCCCTGGACTGCCACAGCAGGCAGCACGACATGGGCCAGAGGCTTGCTCGGATGCAGCCGCAACACCCGGCCGACGGCCTGAATGATGCTCACGTAGCTGCTGCGCGGCTCCACGAACATGCAGGTGTCCGCGTTCGGGATGTTGACGCCCTCCCCCAGCACCTGCACTGTCACCAGCACATGCACCGGTTTCGCCAATTCAGACGAAAATTGACGCATCACCCGCTCGCGTTCCTTGCGGTTGGTGTCGCCGTTGATGTGCCACGCCGCCAACCCCAGAGACTCCAATACGCTCCGGAACCGCCTGGCCTCCGCGATGGAGTTGCAGTACGCCAGCACTCGCCGGAAGCGCCCGGCCTGCGACAGCAGCAGGTTCGCCAAGCAGATGTAGGGGTGGCCCTCGGTCGTTACCGGCACAGTGAAGTCGTAGTCGCACAGCACCCCCTGCTCGATCGCTTCACCAAGACTGTACCGGAAGTCCGCCTCCTCCTTGTGCGTCGCGGAGAACTTGAAGAGGTCCTTGCAGCTCGGCATCCCTTTTGGCACCGGGTGATGGGCCTCGTCGATGAAAGCGGCCTCGAACTCCAACTTGTTCAGAAGCTGCACGGAGTCGGTGACGGCGACGAAGCCACGTGACTCCCAGTCGATCTTGTCGTTGTAACCCATGCCCACCTTGCAGAAACCCGGCATCTCTTCGGCAACCTGCTCCAGCAGCACGCGCGAGGGGACAGTGACCAAGACCTGCGACAAGAGCCCGCGCAATCCTCACAAGGATGCCTGTCACCTTTAGCTCATCCTAAATTCCAAAGGCCAGAATGTCAAGACCCATACATGTGCGCAGCCGGAACCAAAACGGAACCAAAACTCTCAGGAACTCCTGCTGAACTGTTGCAAGGCGACCTTGCCGGACTGCTTCTCGGCCAGCTCCCGGATCACGCGCGTCTTCCCTGTGCCGCAGGCCATCTCGATCACCCGGGCCCCTTTGGCACACGCCTCCAAGCAGGCCTCCTGGCACGGCCGCAGCGGGGCGTCGGAAGTCGGGCGACCGTGCGCCTCGCTGGATGCGAGTGCCGAAGCCGCATCCTGACAAACCTGGGACAAGCTCTTCTTCGTGAGGATCTTGTGCTGCCTTCCGTACTTGCGCAGCCAGCTTTTGGAATCGGCGGAGATCTTGCAGCTGCAGAGGGTCCAGAGCGTGCACCGGGCATCCTGCCAGAAGCGGGAGCTGGGTCTTAATGTTGCCCCCCAGTGAAACAACATTCCCGCTTTTATGACAAGTTTCAAGGTCCCGAATGATGTAGGCTACACGCAAAGAGGCGAAGTTCGTGCCCGGGGATCCTGGGAGGGAAAACTTCAGCTTCAGATTCCAGAACTTTCTGGAGCCGGGCTTTGTATACGTTCCTTCTAAGACTTTCCTAGAGCCATGCCCCCAATTAGATTCTTGGCCCTAATGGACTTTAGTATATTGTGTCTTTGGTCTTCCGGAGCCCTACAGCCAGGGAGACCAAAAACCACAAAAGCAGGCCTGGAATTTCTCAAGCCCTCAACCCCCTGAACTCCTCAACCTTCGGCCCCCATCTACCCCCCGGGGCGGGGGCGGGGGGGGGGGGGGGGGGGGGGGGGGGGGGGCAAAGACTTTTATATGCAACGTAGCTCGTGGAGCCTACTACTACAATGGTTGAGCGAACATTGACGCCCTGGCGCACCTTGCACATGCACGGGGCTGTTCGCAGGAACCGCTTCACATCCGTGTGGGAGGCATTCCGAGCCCGGCAGAGAATTGCCCGGCGCCCGTCCAAGCTGAAGAGGTCCACGCCTGTTTTCGTCAAGGGGCTTACGGCAGCAGCCTTGGGTCTCAGGATGTCGGCTCTGTTGTGATACTGGCCTAGCCGGCGGCGGCGGGTGATGTTGTGCCGCTGGAAGAACCATGGAGGCAACTCCTGGGATGCAAATTGGAAGTGCTACTTCAAACGTCCGCGTATCGTGTGCGCCTCCTCTGCAGTAACAAGCCAAGTTGGATCCCGCTCCTGTGTGGGCACGGCCTCGAACTCCAGCACCGCGGCCCAGACCAGGCGCTGCTGGTCCTCGAGAAACGGCCATGCCAGCGCCTGCAGCATCAACAAAAGGAAAGCAACACCCTGCGATAACAAATCTCAACCAAAAAGCCATATGTATAATACGACTATTTAATACGATGCCTGTACCTAGCAATGCTTATGAGTGGTCACACCCGATCCTTCCCGCCTCCCGCGCCAGGCCGCGGAGGTGCCCCATGAAGGCCGCATCGCGACCTGCTGCGCAACCGAATGGCTGGAGTCACATCTCCACAGGCCGGCAGCTACAAAAGGGCCTACAAACCCGGTATGCCTTCTCATCCCTGGAACCGTTGTCATGTTTCCATTCTGGCGGGCTGCTCGGCTCGTCGACTCCCAGCTCCTCTGCGCCCGCAGCGCGCCTCGTCCTTGCACGAGGATGCGAACTCCATGAGCAGGAGATTACAGGGCAGATACAGGGCCGAAAACACATCACTCTCTCTTGTGTGAATGCGGAATCCTTGGTAGTTCCTGTCGTTTGGAACCATTCGGGTGCACGAAAGGTGCCGCCGTCGCCCAAATGATCCCAAAGAGGAGTCCGCAGAGAATCAGGGTCGCAGCCTTTCTACTGCCACTCCTTCTGCACCTGCGCAAGGCAAGGACCTGATCCTTGGTCATGGGTGGCAGAAAGGAGCGAGGCTGCCACGTGGGCCAACAGAGAACCTCTAAATCAATGTCGGAATTCCATTAGGTGGGCAAGCGCAGAGCTTGTTCGCTCACTGGCTGCAGCAAGACCGGAGATGGACAACCCGAATGCAAGGGTCAACAAGGGCACCACCAGTGCTGCGGTATGTGGGTTGCTCAACTACGTTCCTCTTGAAAGACCGTGAGTCATCTCTTTCGGCCAGCCAGTTCACGGATTCGAAACTCCTTAGCCGAGGCCTCCAGCCTCTTCTTCTTTGAAAAGCAAGTCCCCGAACTAAGCCGGTGGTTTTCACTTCTACCACAAACCTTGCTTGAGCTCCCGAAACCTTCCACACAACTAGTTGGGCTGATTCACTCCAAACGCCCGCGCAGGCCTTTTTAAACATCGCCACGCGCTCAGTTGCGCAAGGTTCCGCAAACATCTGCCAAGGACTTGGTTTCGTCCGTCGGCGAAAGCACACCCTGCCGCAAAGGGGAGGGCAAGAGGCTGAACCATGTCATCCTCACGTTTTTTTGCTCCCGGTGCTGGAGAAGGTCGGATGTGGTTTAGAGGTATAAAGGTACAGGATTTTCAGCTCGCAGAAGAGGGTCAGCCTGTGGTGCTAGCACCACCTTGAAATGCAGTTGAAATACGGGGATCATGGAACTCGAGACTCATCACATCCGTGTCACGTCAGCGACACGACTTGCAGCGCGGCTGCCTTGAAGAGTAAAAGAGTTGGAGGGGTCCTTGGGAAGGGGCGTTAGGGCCAAGGCTTAAGAGGAACAATTCAAAGCTCGGAGCTGCGAATATGAAACCTTAAAACCCACCTCATCAGGCGTTGCAACCTAAAAACCCTAACCCTTGAACCCTGAAAGATGCGCGCATCAACACCCCGAAGCACCCCTCCTCTTTGCACCAAGCTGGAGCCTCAGAACGCCTCAAACTTGTAAAACTATACCTCGCTATATGGAACATCCCGAAGCCCAAATCCCCAACGCCCAAGCTCTGGGCGCAGTTGGTTTTTGCAAGCGTCTGGAGCTTTTGGGGGCCACGTGGCCAGACAACAGCCCAGCTGATGCTCATGCCCAGCTGACGCTCATGATGCTCCCCTCCCGTGTCGTCAAATGTGCCCATCATTGGGGCAGTTGGTTTTTGCAAGCGTCTGGAAATTCTGGGGGCCACGTGGCCAGACAACAGCCCAGCTGATGCTCATGCCCAGCTGACGCTCATGATGCTTCCCTCCCGTGTCGTCAAATGATGTCAAATGTGCCCATCATTGGGGCAGTTGGTTTTGCAAGCGTCAGGAGCTTTTGCGGCCGCGTGGCCAGACAACAACCCAGCTGATGCTCATGATGCTCGCCTCCCGTGTCGTCGAATGTGCCCAATCATTGGGGCAGTTGGTTTTTTGCAAGCGTCTGGAGCTTCTGGGGCCGCGTGGCCAGACAACAACCCAGCTGATGCTCATGATGCTCCCCTCCCGTGTCGTCAAATGTGCCCATCATTGGGGCAGTTGGTTTTTGCAAGCGTCTGGAAATTCTGGGGGCCACGTGGCCAGACAACAGCCCAGCTGATGCTCATGCCCAGCTGACGCTCATGATGCTTCCCTCCCGTGTCGTCAAATGTGCCCATCATTGGGGCAGTTGGTTTTGCAAGCGTCAGGAGCTTTTGCGGCCGCGTGGCCAGACAACAACCCAGCTGATGCTCATGATGCTCGCCTCCCGTGTCGTCAAATGTGCCCAATCATTGGGGCAGTTGGTTTTTGCAAGCGTCTGGAGCTTCTGGGGCCGCGTGGCCAGACAACAACCCAGCTGATGCTCATGATGCTCGCCTCCCGTGTCGTCAAATCTGCCCAATCATTGGGGCAGTTGGTTTTTGCAAGCATCTGGAGCTTCTGGGGGCCACGTGGCCAGACAACGGCCCAGCTGATGCTCATGATGCTCGCCTCCCGTGTCGTCAAATGTGCCCAATCATTGGGGCAGTTGGTTTTTGCAAGCGTCTGGAGCTTCTGGGGTCGCGTGGCCAGACAACAACCCAGATGCTCATGATGCTCCCCTCCCGCGTCGTCAAATCTGCCCAATTATTGGGGCAGTTGGTTTTTGCAAGCGTCTGGAGCTTCTGGGGCCGCGTGGCCAGACAACAACCCAGCTGATGCTCATGATGCTCCCCTCCCGTGTCGTCAAATCTGCCCAATCATTGGGGCAGTTGGTTTTTGCAAGCGTCTGGAGCTTCTGGGGCCGCGTGGCAGACAACAACCCAGCTGATGCTCATGATGCTCGCCTCCCGTGTCGTCAAATCTGCCCAATCATTGGGGCAGTTGGTTTTTGCAAGCGTCTGGAGCTTCTGGGGCCGCGTGGCCAGACAACAACCCAGCTGATGCTCATGATGCTCCCCTCCCGTGTCGTCAAATCTGCCCAATCATTGGGGCAGTTGGTTTTTGCAAGCGTCTGGAGCTTCTGGGGCCGCGGGGCCAGACAACAACCCAGCTGATGCTCATGATGCTCGCCTCCCGTGTCGTCAAATCTGCCCAATTATTGGGGCAGTTGGTTTTTGCAAGCGTCTGGAGCTTCTGGGGCCGCGTGGCCAGACAACACAGCTGATGCTCGTGATGCTCCCCTCCCGTGTCGTCAAATCTGCCCAATCATTGGGGCAGTTGGTTTTTGCAAGCGTCTGGAGCTTCTGGGGCCGCGTGGCCAAACAATAACCCAGCTGATGCTCATGATGCTCCATTGGGGCAGTTGGGTTTTGCAAGTTTCCAGAGCATCACGACAAGAGTCCCACAATGTCCCCTTAGAGAGGACAGACCCGACCCTGACCCTCAGTCTATCCCGCAGGCCCTCAATCCTGAACTTCAAGTTGCATCCTTTGCTTTGGCAAGGGGCATGCGCGGGTCTTCCGCGACACAGGCTTTCGAATTCGCCTGCGGCTAAGGCTGACCCAAGCACTTTCGGGGAGCGCAGGAACTAAACACTAGGGTTGGTGTGGGGGTGCTTCAGCATGCTCCAGCCTGGATCAGCTCCTTA